CCCATCCCTCTCTCTCTCTCTCTCTTTGGTTAACTAGTGCATTGTCGTTGTATGTACGCATGTGCCATGCCTAGCTTTTTCTTTCAACACCAGAAATATGCTCTTGATAAAAATCATTTCACCGTGAGCCCTATAGTTAGCGCACTTAGTTAACTCTCTTCTCCTTTGTAAACTGCTCTGATGAACCCACTAAGAGAATACCACTATTGTACACGTATACGCATGTATGTATTTTGTTTCCTTCCTTGGAACGCTCATTTTTGTAAGAAATGCCTAGCTGTAGCAAATGATTGGTAGTGCCTGTGTACACATCAAACATGTGCTAGCACACACACACACGCACACACATACACACACACGCACACACACACACACACACACACATACACACACACAAACACACATGCACACACATACACATACACAAATACACACAGGGAAGCACTCATCTTCACTTCGCACATCAGGTACGGACACACATGAACATGATCACTGGAAAGTACTACACGCCATTCTTCTATATTAATTACGATAATTGCAGGGTTTCTGTGGTCACAACAGACTTAACAGTTTGAAAAGTAGTCACTAAATAAAACAAATACACTTGAGCATCCCTATTTTTACGGAAAGTCTTTGAAAACACATTGCTACTGCATTGTTGACCAGAACATCATTAAAAATCTTGATTGCACGGCATTGCATAACTCAGGTGTACAGTTCCAAACTTTGTGGTAGGGACTAATTTTCCATACATATACGATGTACATATATATATAAAATTAATGGAATTAATGTTTCTTTTTTCTGCTTGTTTGTTGTTGTTGTTTTTATGCTTCCATCGACCTAACTTTCATCATTAAGGAGGCGGGCTTCGACCCTACCTGTCAAGAAAAGCGGGACTGACAGGTTAGGGGTGCAACGTCCCAACAGAGGGCCAGAAATACTCTATAGCCATAATATTCTCCCAACGTGGAATCAAAGAAAGGTATTCTGCGTGCGAGGGCAAAAGACTAAACCACTATACCTCAGATGCCGAGGTTCCGTTAGAATCCTCATCATCAAGTGTTAGATCTGCGATAGTCATCGGCAATCAAGGTTCTCCAATCATTAGCTCGGGCGCTCTAAAAAAATCCACATTATCCTGATTTTTTCTTGACTCCAATCTGTTTGTTCTTATTATGTTGCTCTGGGTCTACTCCTGCCTCTTTTTCTTTCAATTTTATATAAACAATTAGAAAATAGAAACTAAAACATCAACATCGCACTACTCTTGGGATCCTATTAAACTACAGCGTTATTGACCTGAGCGTCATGAGAAATCTTGACTATACATTACATAGGTGTGCAGTTCCAATCGCTTCCGTACGGAACATGTCACCAACGAACTAATGTTAGTAGACGCTAATAACTTGCCATTTCTCCGATTCAACAAATCTGCTGTTGAGGATTAGTAAGTCGTGTGTTCTGATATTGTCCATTACCTTGATGAATCAGAAATCTTTAGCAGAGGCTCGAGCAAGGTTAGATTCTGAAGCGAATTCTGAATCTTTCTGAAAATCAAGATGCGTATTGATTTATTGCATTTATGTTAGCCTTTTAATTTACACAGCCGCGGATTTTGGATTCCTGGTAATATTGCTGTGACAAGGTTGAGACTGTAGAAAAGGGAGTTTTGCCTTTCTGTTGCCAAAAATAAAGCCCAGTTATTGACAGGAAACGTGGAGTCCCAATGCAGAGTGTACTGTACATTAATCGTATATACACAGTTGATCTATAAGGTCGATGTCAAAAACCAAACATTTATTGCATTCTCGATGAAAACTCGCAATGAGAATTACAGTGGCAATTCGAAAAGAACAAAACACTTCGTCTGTTTTGAATCAATTATTCATTAGCGCAGATATGATGCAATAATTTCTGAATAGAATTTACACCACGTTGTGCGTCTTATGGTAGGTTCATTTTTTTAAAACCCCAAACTCTAAGTGATATCAATACAACTGTTATAATTTCTGTGTAAAACATTTTTAATACATATACCATAACAAAATTCGTGCCCTTCAAGTGTTCTGGACAAAGTCGTCCCTTAGCTATTACCCCACATTATTGTCATGTTCCGTACTAATTGGCCGCCGGGGAGCATAGGGGCTGACCACTGACCACTCAGTTCTTCTATGAAAATTTGTTTACAGCATTAGTCATTTTTCTTGATCCATATTATGATTTTGAAAAAAACCCAATAAAAAACAAACACACTTCTGTTATCAATTTTATGATCCAGTAATGAAAGAATGTGCAGCCTTTGTCAATTGTATTGAGCATTTCAATCATGAGTTCTTTCTACGGCTCACATAGATTATCTAAACCATCTTTGAGATTTCCTACTGAAAAGAATGACCTAGGCTATGCCGTATTACACAACACATCAAGCGCTACTTCAGAAACCCGTTTCAAAGATGATTGACTCATCGATCGTTTCAAGAGGATAAAGAACAACTTGACAACTTCAGCGGAGCAGTCTACAAGTAAAGGAAGCCAAAATCCAAGAAATTGGAACTTTTCAAATAAGATCTTGTTCCCTCAAAGGCTTTGCAACACTCGCGCAATAATAGCAATATAGATCTATTACTGTACTGGAAAGTTATGTTAAATTGCCTCAACTCCTATTCCTGTATAAATGGTACGTGGATGTCTTTACGACTTGCAGTGTGCTGTTATAAAAAAACCAAAATGAATATTTTACGGAATTAGGGATGCTTTTTGTAATGGTTTAGATCACATACATAACAGTGTTAATTGTTCACAACTTTGGTACTGAAAAAAACCCAACAACAACAAAAGAAAAAACAAAACATAGATCTTTCTTTGTACTAAAACTCGTGGCCTCGGTTATATGTTTTACCTATTTCATAAACCAAATGGAGAGTTTTTGTTTGTTTTTGTTTTATTAATACGGCAAAAAATAAAAACAAACACATTAGTCGTTCTCATCATACGTCTTTGGAAAAATGCATGGGTGTGCACGTCTAGTAAGAAGGTCCGACCACCAGAACCTGACCAACAATCTTGATTACACAACAAGGGTGCACAACTTAGGTGTGTAGTAATCCCTACCTCTGTGTGCGACACACGTCGATCCGTCTGGGAGACGACAGCACAGCGCGGCTTAATCGTTTTCCCACTTGTTTCAGAATTTCCGCGTATTCCAACACTCCCAATCGCCTTCAAGACTCTCCTCTTTTTCTTCTCCTCCTTCCTCTATCTGTTGTCGGTTTGCATGTGTCCTGGTGTGATGGCCTATTCTTCCCTCTGTGTCTTAGCACAGCAGTCGTTTTCAAAAATCGCTCGTTCGAGTGTATTCGCTTGTCAATGAGTCCTCTCTCAGAATTACCTGTCCGTTCTTGGCGAGACAAATCTAAAATAAATGAAGGAAAATTATCCTGGCCAGAGTGACAGCGGGGAGGCGAGGGGGAGGCGTCACGTGACGTCTAGGGCGACCTATGAGAGAGCGAGGCGGCTCGGGGGCGGAGTCAAGGGCTCAGATTGATGCATGGCTCGGCCCCCCAGGAGGTGGGCTATCGACTGAGAACTGAGAACTGCAAGGTTTGTGCTTGGAGAGGGGCGAGAGATGGGGAGAGAGACTGGGAGAGAGATAGGGAGAGAGGTGGCGAGAGAGATGGGGAGAGAGATGGGAAGAGAGAGAACAGAGACAGATCGAAACACGGAGCCAAAAAGATATAGAAATGCGGGAGAATGTGAGAGTAAGAGAGCGAATTAAAACGTAAGAAAGAGAGGGAGAGCGGAGAAAGAGTAGGAGAGCTGAGAGAGAGAGAGAGAGAGAGAGAGAGGGAGGGG